ATCACTTCAAGAAAATATTGGAACCGTAAAGAGGCAATACTTGATAATGTCTTCGCATACAGTTTAACACTTTATATAATGGAAGAATTGAGGATTCAGAGCTAAAATCGTTGTATGAATGTCAGCAAAGAAATGACTGGCCAAAATGGGAAAATGCGATTTAAAACCTCGAAATGCATCTTTTAGAAGTAGTTACTGAATATTTTTATGACCATTGGATACTGATATCTATATGAAAGTTCATGAGGATTCAATATGCCTGAAATATACAAATTAAACCTAAAGGAATCATATCCCATCAAATTGAAAAAGTCATTGTATGGACTTAAACAATCAGGACGAATATGGTATAACGGTCTCAGTGAATGTTTAATAAAATGTTATATTAATGATCCAATATGCCCATGCGCTTTTATCAAGAAAAATGGATCAAATTTTGTCATTAATGCAATATATGTTGATGATCTCAATTTAATTGGAACTTCTGAAGAGATCCAAATTGCAATTGAATATCTAAAAAATTAATTTGAAATCAAAGATTTTGAAAAGACAAAATTTTATCTGGGATTACAAGTGTTATGTTAAGAGTACACCAATGGTGATCATTTCTTGATCCCAATAAAGATCCATTTAGACCAAAAGAAGAAAATAAAGAAATATTTGGCCCCGAGATACCATATCTCAGCACTATTAGCGCATTAATGTACCTTGTAAATTGTACCAGACTAGATATATTATATTCAGTAAATTTATTGGTCAGATTTAGCGCATCATCCACAAAGCGTCAATGGAATGGTATCCATCACATTTTTTGTTATCTTCAGGGGACTCATGACCTCGGTCTATTTTATTTGAGTGAATCTCGAAACGAATTAATTGGTTATGTTGATGCAGGTTATCTGTCTGATCCACACAAAGAAAAATTTTAAACTGACTATTTATTTACCTGTAGTGGAACCACAATCTCTTGGAGATTCGCTAAATAGACGAAAATAACTACTTTCTTAAACCATGCTGAAGTTAGCAATGCACGAAACTAGTCGTGAATGCGTTTGGTTGAGGTTGATGACTGACCATATTCAGAAAAATTGTGGCTTGATTTTAGATGATGTATTACTTCCTATAATAGTATTTGAAAATAATGCAGCTTGTATCGCTCAGTTAAAGAGATTATATATCAATGGTGATCAAATAAAGCATATATCTCCGAATTTTTTTTACACTCACGATCTTGAGAAAGAGTGGTGAAATTAATGTGCAAAAAATCAGATCATCTGAAAATTTTGCAGATTTATTTACGAAGGCACTATTGACTGCAACATTCATCAAATTGGTGCAAAGAATTAAAAATGCGTCAGCTGAAAAATATTAAATAAAGTCCAAAATAAGGGGAGCGCATTGATATAAGAATGTTGTACCATTTTTCCGTCACTAAGATTTTTTTTCCATATGATTTTTTCATAATAAAATTTAAACGATGCATATTCTTTGTTTAAAAACATCTATGGGGAAATGTCATACACATAATGAACAACAAAATCATACGTAATGAACAAAAAGGTCATTCGCGAATTATTTTAAACCTGATGTATAATATTCTTTTGCCTATAAATAAACTGATGTTATATATTGCTTTCAATTCAATAGAAACACAAAATTCATTTATTACATTACAATTTTTTTTTCTCTCTCTCTCCCTTTCTCTTTGGGTGTGTTTATTTGGGGGTTTGGATTTTGAGTTGAGATTTGAATAGTAAAAATTTTGAATTTGAATAGTTGTATGATGTGATATAAATAGGTGTTGATGTGATGTTTTGAATGTAAAATTGATTTTTAGTACTCCCTCCGTCCCACATACTATGTCCACGTTGCCGTTTCTGTCCGTCCCACATACCATGTCACTTTCCTTTTTTGAAAAATGATTATACCTTCAATCTCATTTTAAACCTTTTAATTTTAATTAAACTAATTAGTTATCTTAATCTTAATTTATAATTATTTATATTATAGGATAATTATTTTCACTAATACATTCTTAATTATCTACTAATTACACCCCTCCTAAAATACCGTGTCTACAGTGTAGCAGACACGGTATGTGGGACGGAGGGAGTATAATATAAAAAATAAAAAATAGGTGTTTGATTTGATGTTTTTGGGGAAAAAAATAGGATGAACAGTGAAAATCTAATCCAATCCCCCAAACAAACACACCCTTAATATTAAACGCATTTGTATGTTTCTTTTTATAAGTTCGGTAAAATTTTGGTTTGAATTTGATATTAAAATAATGTTTGATGAGATTTTTTGTAAGATAAAAAAATATATTTTTTTCGGAAAACGCAGAGTCCAAATAGTAAAATTTGGAAAATTTGGGGTAAAAAAACATACATGATCATGTATATTATCTTATATATATATATATACATTCTCCGTCCGTCAAATTTGTTTTGAATTTTCTTTTTAGTTCATATGCTAAATTTATCACATTACAAATTTTAGCAAAGTTAACAAATCAACATTTAATTATTACCCTTAATTCAAGACTTATTTACAACAAATACCACTAACTTTATTATTTTTTCCTCTTTTCATTTAATTTCATTCTTAACTAAATTTTTAAAAATACAGTCAACTATCTATCGCTTTTTTCAATAAAATATTTATTTTATTTATTTTTTTAAACTCTGCGCCAGAACCAAATTTGACTATTTTTAGTGGACGGAGGGAGTATAATGTATTGATTTGACCCCATAAGCGGGACCAAGCATGTTGCCGCCAGAAGCCCGTATTGCTTTTAGAGAATCTCCTAATTATTCCGGAGCAATGTTCTTCACTCTCAAGAAATTGTCATCTTTTGTCCCGTAAAAGATGACCTGGTGGTGTAGGGGTTGAATTTGTGACCGTGAGGTCATGGGTTCAAACCCTCGACGCCTCAGGTCACCTGTCACACATAATTTGCCTAGTCACACGGTGGGGATCTACCCAGTGCGCACTTTTGGGTAACGGCTGCGGGTTCCTACGTCGATCTCTTTTATTTGACTAAACATAAATGATCGATATCAATGTAACTAGAATTGGCACGATCCCCCAAACTATACTTTTTAATACTTACCAATATTATTACATTACTAGCGTGTAAACCCGTGTGATGCACGGTTCATATAAATTGTTAAAATAATATTAAACAAATAATTAATTATATTGGCAAATATTTTATAAAATGGTACAAATATTTTTAAGCATTCAACAATTCATACTAAATTTACCATGTGACGAATTCTTCTTGTTGTATCAATAAAGATATAATTAGTAGTATACATATATAAACACAATCTATAAATATGTTAATAAACTCTAATGCTAATTATATATCATTTTCTGTTATATATTTAAAAAAATATATTAGTATGCTAAAATAATTAACAATGAAATAATATATATGTATATTTATACGTGTAAAATATGTTTTATTTTGTAAATTTTTTAATAGAATAGTTGACATCGAAAGATAAATTAAAATTGTTTGTGTGACAATTTTAAATTCATACTTACGGTATCGTATTTTATTGTCTAATTAGCCTTATATCTACACTAAAGATTGTATATAAAATATAACTAAAAAAAATTACGATGTATTTATAGTTATATAAACATAAAATCTTTGTAAAATTAGTTTCAATTCAGATATTTTGAACATCAATATGATCAATTCATCCAATAATACGGAAAAAACTTAACATTCATATAAAAAATAAAAAAAGTTAAAATTATAAGTTGAAAAAATTAATTATAAAGTTAGTATATATTGTACAATAATTATGTAACAATTTTTAGTATAATTATTATATAAAAAATATATGACATAATTAAATTATTTATACAAATTAGAACAACTACTAAAGTAAAATAGATAATTTGTTTTAAATACTAATTTTTATTTTTTTAAAAAAATTAATATATAATCATTTATCTTAATTTTTTATTATCAATTTAATAAATAAACAAAAAATAATGTAATTTAATAATTAGTATTTATAGTTACTGAAATATCAACTATAATTATTCAAATTTATTTTTTAAAATAAAATTAGACATTAAACTTATAAATAAAAATATTATATTAAAAAAATCAATTCATTTCAAATTTTAAAAATTGACTTTTTTTTTAAAAAATTATTCAAATATATATTAATTAAATATAATATACGTGATAGATAAGAGTTAACAATAAATTTACATATTAAATACAAATCCATCATTCTTCCCCATATATGATTCATTTTATCTTTTTGTGATATTTTTTATTTTTAGTAAATTTATTAATCTTAAATACACTTGACAAATATTAATCAATTTAATTAAATTTCTAATGTTTTACACGTATGACCTCCTCAAAACCCTTTATTTTTATATGTCTTTCCAATTAACAAATATTTTATTTACCTTTAAAACTCTCCATTTTTTTACAAAAATAATTTATAATAATTATAAAATATAGTCTATAGAATTAATGATTTTTTAACGTAGAAAAAAAAAAAAAATCAAAACTGTGAATTTTCAATTCTTCTCTATCTTCATATTTTTTTAAAATCAAAATAAATATAAAAATAAAATATGTTGAGAAATATGTTAAAAGAAATGAGAATATGAATTTCAACAAAAAAAAAAAAAAAAATAATTAAAATTAAACTTTAACACTATAAAAAAAAACTGTAAAAATTATATAGCTTTTAAATATTATATTATCATAATAAAAAGTTATAAAACAAAAAGAAATAAAAAAATAAAAAAAATCCAAAAAATATCAGAATGGAGGAATTAAGAGTGATTTTAAATATATAATATGTAGAATATAGATTATAATATAACAAAAACAATATAATCAATATTTTTTAGATATATATTAAAATCGTTGGGCAAACGGCTAATTAGAAACGCGATTCTTAGGTAGAAGCGCCACATTAGTTTTCGACGTAAGGATAAGATGGGATTGCGTCTAGTTATGGAGGGGAATCCCATTCCTTCCGAAGATAGATGAGATTCTCATTCAGTAATGGCGCTCTGCACTCCGATTCCTGCGTCCTGTTCGCCTTCCAACTGTGTACTGAATTCGAAATCCTTAAAGCCATTGAACCAACTCCTTGTTTTTTCTCACTCTCTGAAGCCAGGAACACACTGTCTTAGCAGAAGAAGTAGGCGATTCAGAGTAGAGGCCACTGCCGCTCTTGATTCCGGGAATGGCTCCGTTGGAGTGGCACCCGAAAAAGAGGGCGAAAATTCTTCTTCCAGTTCGTATGGCCGACAGTTTTTCCCATTGGCTGCTGTTGTTGGCCAGGTTGTGCCTCACTTCCGCAGCAATTTGGTTATGCGGTCACAATAAGTATATATGCAACATGATATCACTGTGTTCTTGAAATTTGCTTGCGTCCTGTCAATAATTTGAGCTGTTTCTGTACATATGATTGTCAGATGAAACTTTTCTAATAATGTGATTTAATTTGCCTATGCTGTTCGAGGTGCTTATTTGAAGGTCTCCTATGCTGTTTTCTATCTAAGACAATTTCAATGTGTCATTGTTATTATACTTACCTTCTGTATGCTTATTTATTCTTGTTTTGGTCTGTATTCTAGTGGAAACTATTATTGTCTTGCTCATTGAACTAATTGTTAATCTTTTTGGTTTTTGGAAAGTCGTTACGAGGCCTTTTGATATCTGATTATGTAGTTCATCCGGAGTAAGTAGAAATGAGCTTGTTCTGTGAGGTAGTACTATCTTCTTTTTTTTATGTTTGGTCGAATAAAAGACTCACCTAAAAGTTTAAACTATTATGATACTAATTATTTATTTATATATCTACAAACGAGAGTCAATCAACACGCCCTCTCACAGGCAAGGGGATAAACGCTCCCAAAAGAAACTTGCCTTTGGACAACAACAAATGGGGGATGATGGAACTCGAACTCGAGACCTAAGACTCTGATACCATGTTATATAATGTAAATGACCGACTCACCTAACATGGTATCAGAGTGTTAGGTCTCGAGTTCGAGTCCCACCGTCTCCCATTTGTCGTTGTCTATGGGTAAGTTTCGTTTGGGAGCTTTTATCCCTTGCTCATAAGGAGACATGTTGGTTGACTCCCGTTTGTAGATAAATAAATAGATGATGCGTATCCTACTAGTTTAAGCTTTTAGGAGAGTCGATCATTTATTTCATCTAGCAAAAGATACAATATAACTGTTAAATAACCACTGCAAATTTTTGTTCTGTATTTTCTTATGGCTGTGCTTTGAGGAGCATTATTGTTAAATAATATTTATTTAATCAGATATTTACTTGAAATCATAGCCTTCTTTTTACTATAGATTCTCATGTTTATCGTCGAACCACTAGCTATTTTGAGTTTCTGTGTAAATAGAAAAAGTTGCTTATGTAGTGAGCCACTGGGACATACTTATACAGGATGCAATTAAGACTGCACTTTTACTTGGGGCTATAGACCGTGAAATTGGAGGAATAGCAATTTCTGGAAAGAGAGGCACAGCCAAAACAGTTATGGCCCGTGGCTTGCATTCTATTCTCCCCCCTATTGAAGTAGTTGTTGGATCAATTTCAAATGCTGACCCAACATGCCCTGAAGAGTAAGTTTTAAAATATTTGGAAATCCTGTTAGCTATTGGACATGTCTCTTAAACTTACACTAAATTTGAGGATTTTAGGATCTTTCAGTGTTCATCTACAAAATATGATCCATGCTGTTTTAAAATGCATTGGACAAATTTATATTTAGTTTTTATGGTTTCACATGGGCAATTGATACGCTATATTATGAGCAATATACATATATCCTGAGAAATGAATTTAGCAAATAAGCAGTGATAATTCTGTTATGTTTTGTATAATTGGTTTTGGGGTATATGATTAGTCCAGGCAGGCCATTTAAGGGCGGACTATTTACACTTTGTTCTCCCAACACAATTTCTCAATTGCAATTTCCCAAAAATAATAATAAACAATACAAACAACTTTTTACAAAAAATAAAAGAAATTTAAAATACTCATTACAAAAAGTCAAATATTCAACTTAAAAATAATATATTTTATACTTTTGACACAATTCCTCATGCCATATATAAAAAATCAATCCATGCTGCGTGAACGGAACTTTAAAATGATTTTAAATTTATCTGTAAGCTTCCATACCATCAATGTTTATTATTCTTTTTCGTGATATATGGAAAATCTCTTGTGGAGCTTTGGTTTCAATGTTTATCAATTGTGCTTTTAAATTATCTGTTCTTATTATCTTGATGTAAGTATACATTATCTTTTGGTAAGGTGGGAAGATGGACTTTCTGACAAAGTGCAGTATGATTCTGCTGGTAATATAAAGACCCAAATAATCAAATCACCTTTTGTTCAGGTACCTTTTCTGAAGAAGAAATTAGAAAACAGGAATATCTATTTTTTAATTTATACTACTACTTATTCTACAGATTCCACTTGGTGTCACTGAAGATAGACTAGTAGGTTCGGTTGATGTTGAGGAGTCTGTGAAATCAGGAACTACAGTTTTCCAGCCAGGGCTTCTTGCAGAGGCTCATAGAGGAGTTTTGTATGTTGATGAGATAAACCTTTTGGATGAAGGTATCAGTAATTTGCTTCTAAATGTCTTGACGGAGGGAGTCAATATTGTAGAAAGAGAAGGGATCAGCTTTCGCCACCCTTGCAAACCACTGCTCATTGCCACTTATAACCCTGAAGAGGGTTCTGTTCGGGAACATCTTCTGGATCGCATTGCAATAAATCTGAGGTAAGAAAGGTGCTCAGTTTTAAGATGTCCACAAATCTTTCTGCTTGTCATTGTGCATGTCTACAAGAAAAAATATATTATTCCTGTGGTCTAGAAATTTGTAAGTGAGTTCATTAAGTGATTGATAATAAATTACAAAATTTCATTGAACTCTCCATGGATTAAATGAATAAGACACATTAACTTGTTTAATTGGCAGACTGAATCATCACGTTTTAATAATTCCATTCATATGCCACATTTTTTTGTTAACTTGCTTTAACTAGCCCACGTCCGCCACTGTTCATCAAATGGCTTATTGATTTCATGTAAGTTGTTTCCTTCCCTCACCCATCTGCCCTCTGTAATGCTTGGCAATATTCCCTGACCCCCCATACATATTTCTTCTGAAGATACACAGTTACACACCCTGTCCATCATCCGGCATTCCTTAATACATCCATTCTTAAAAGTAAATTTCACAAATGATTTTCTACTTAAGTTAGTAGTACAAGCATGTCCATCTTGCATTACAACATGTATGCAGCCAAATCCCAGCAATACAAGACTTGAGATAAAACATCTGCGTTGAACATCTATTTCTTTCCTTTCCCATTTCCATACACCGACCTTTCAACCTTTGCATTAAGTAATGTTATTTTTGTATTTAAAGTGCTGCATCATTTTAAATGACTCCAATATTCTGCAGTGCAGATCTTCCAATGAGCTTTGAAGACCGTGTTGCAGCTGTTGAAGTTGCAACGCAGTTTCAAGAGCATAGTAGTGAGGTTCTTAAAATGGTTGAAGAAGAGATGGACCTTGCAAGAACGCAGGTAGTACTAGTTTGACAAAGTATGAATGATTAAAGAATGTTCTATACAGTTTGAATGATATCACCTATAAGAATCAAATTTAAATCTCCAGATGACTATAATGGGGCGCCTCATAGTTTCCAAATTTTTCAGAAGAGAGTGTGCTCATATAGATTTGACTATTGTTGGAGATGACCCCGTCCTTCATAAGTTCGCCTGATTATATATACTAATCCAACAATGTTATAAATTTTGAAGGGCACTGTGGATATTTCCTGCAGTCTAGCCTAATGCTATTAGGAGGATTATTCGATTTTAGCAACACGTCTCTTTTGTTTGACACCATCAAGACACATATTTCTATGATGACAGTTGTAATAATCGTTGTAGTCTTATGATGACAATGGAATCAGGAATTGAATACCCAGAACTAAAGTTCCCCCACTTTCTGAACACCGCACCCTATTTATAAACATGTGTAGTTTAGTGACATTTTCAGGTTTACATCTACATATCATAATATATTGTGCATATAACTAAAGAATTCATGTTAAATTCATTGGCTGCATGTTTGTGACAAGTTAGTTTGATTGCTTTTTGATGCTTAATAGATTTTCATTGCAGAACAAGTGCTATAACATGCAAATTGAATGCTCTACAGTTAACTACTCCGTAACCATATTTGCTTCTCATTTGTCTATGCAGATAATTTTGGCTAGAGAATACTTGAAAGATGTTGGTATTGGTAGAGAGCAACTAAAGTATCTTGTTATGGAAGCTATCCGAGGTGGTTGCCAGGTTTTGGTTTGATGCTTTACTTGATTTTAGCACATATTATATTATGAACTCTAATCTATTATTTGAATGAGACGCATGATTTTATTCATTGAACCTATTCTAATTTCTTAGGCTTGGATGTCACACCAGGAAATAGTGCATAATGCCGTAAATTAGAAAATTCAACACCACTAATATGACATCTCTTTGTTCCAACTTACTGTATCTTCTAAAAACTCAAATCAGATCCAACTATGTCACTATTGGACTCGAGTAGTAGGATCATTTGCAATACAACCAGATCAGCCATAGCTTAGAAAATTCAAATATACTGTGGTGTTTTTATTTGAAATAAAAAACAAACACACTCTTGGTTTTTCAACCTATAAAATTTGTCTTAATCTATATTTTGTTGAAATATATTTTAGATTGATATTTTGATTAATATTATTTAGATTTGATTGTTATTATTTAGGCTATCTACTAAATTAGGTTTTTATTATTTAAGTTTATTCCTTTTGTACTATATGTATAATACTGTAGGTTCTAATTTCATTATTACTAAATAACTAAAATTTCTCCCAAGATATAACATGATATCAGAGTCATGTTTTTTCCGAATATATTCCTGTTGCCTGAAATATACTTGAAGGACTATCCTCAATCATTCTGAAAATATTGAATCCTCTCTAATTGCAAATGTTCATCACTTTTCCGACACAATTAACTTACGCAGCCACCACCATTGTGTTCCTGACTTGAAATGATTTGACCACCAAACACTGTTGTTAAAAGTAGTGTGTGAGCCACCCATACTAGTGAACGTTTGATTAACAAACAATCAAGCCGGTCAACATTTTGTTGCCGCTGACTATAGCAACTGATAAACGAAGTTAAGCGCTGAAAATATTGAAGGAAAAACCATGTGTTTATGGCATAGAGTTAACGGTATATATTGAATAAAAATGAAGTCGAAGTTGTAGTTATTAACTTGTATAAAAAATATATTTGTACTCCTTTTTACCAGTGAATGTTTAGGTCAAACTCATAGATTTTAAGTTTCGAAATAAAATCAAAAAAATACTTACAATGAGTATGACAGAACAAATAAAGTGAAGGTAGAAATGAAATAAGCAAATAGAAAGGTAAATCTTAGTCTAAAAAGCAGATAAAACGAAGTTTAATGGGTGAGATGATTTAAATGAGCGAACAACGTGAACATGCATAAGGTATGTATATATATATATATAAATGAGGTTGGGTGCGGAATGGCTACGAGTGTTTGTGGATTTATGAGTGGATATGTATATAGGATGGGGAGGATAAAGGGAGGTGTTTGTGGCTAGATTACCTTGGCTGAAATGAGCGAGAGATGGTGATAGTATTTTAGCGAAGATATATGCATAAAAGCGAAAGACGAACTGTATGTGATCACACCTGTTAGCTTAAAGTCTAACTTTGACTCAATTGGTACTTACTTTAGGAGTTACTACGGAACTTAAGATTCACAACTAAGAACATTATCTTAAAGAGAAGTCACTGGACATTTTTGTCACATGATAGACAAACACCTATGTCTAGTTAATTATTACTTAAGTATGTTCACTAGCAGCCTACCCTTGTCATACCTCTCTTTAGTCCGCATTAAATTCAAATCACAAACTAAGTAGGTCTACAAGGCTCCTGCGTACTTAGTTACGTACCACCTAATCTTTGTTAACAATGCGACACAATCATAGGCATAAATCCCTCTCTCTCCTTCCACAATCTTGTCCAGAAGTATGAACATGGAAATGTGTGCGGATCAAATAAACAAAGAATAAAGATGATATTTTATGTCTACTGGGAGCAGTAACTCTGTCTACATTAGTTCTACAAAAAACAGAGTAAATCCGCCGGAAAAGGATTCTGGCGGTGGCTAAGGGAGGTCAGGGGTTGAGAATTTCTATAAAGTCTAATGACCACCGTGCTAAACTACCTAAAAGAGCTCCTTATAGTTTGGCCTTTGAAGAGTGATTACATAACAATAACTGAATGAATGCGTAAAAAACACGAATAACACAGTGGAAGGCCCGTAGTTATAGGCTCTAAGGGTGGTGGTTGGACGGTTGATTTGGCAGTTGAATGGTAGTTGAAACAGCTGGATAGTTAGGCGGTTAAGTAGTTTGAGCAGTTGGAACTACCATAACTCCCAGTTTCGCACTGGATGGCACGGATCTTCCTTCTAATAGCATGGGTCGCACAGGACTCCGCACTTGGAGGGAAAGACGTCACTCAGGATAGCTAACACCTTCATTGTGAGTTTGAGGTGAATGGTATCTCCGTCATGAAGCTTGCTTTCGCTGAGGTAAGACCTAGCTTTGTTTGCATAAGGTTCACTTGGACGGGCGAAGTTCACTGGCCTCTAGGACGTAGGCTGCCTTAGAGAGTTCGCTGAGCTTGGCAGATTTGGGCCTGAACTTTGCTTGATCTGGAGTAAAAGTTAGTAAATCTCATCTAAGGAAAGTTGGATCATATAAGCGAAATATAGCAATAATGTATGCCATAAATAAGATATTGTTATGGTTTTGCACAAAAATACGAAGTAAGAAACATGTTTTAAAAGTAGAAATATGCTCAAATTTGGGGTTATCAGCCACGCGTAGAGACACATTTTGGCAACATACTGGGAATATTTCCGACCTCTCTGTTAAGTTAGATTCCAGTTTTGATCAAGTTTTTGGTTTGGTCTTTGATGTTTATTAAGGTGTAGTTTCTTACATTTTAGCGCTATCATAGCGATAGAGGATCACCGCCACTAGAAACCCTAATTTGGAAATGCTGATACATCATAGAATCTCCGCCGCCTCCCCAATAGAGGAATAATAAAAAAAAGCCCTAATATGGCCAAAACTAGGGTGTGTTTCTTTGGGATTTTGTAGTTTTTTACTATTCAATTTTCACGTTCTCAAATAAAAATATTTTGAATTTGTTTGTTTAGTATTTTAGTTAAAAAATTTTTTCTATGGGAGATATGAGAAATTGTGTCGGTAATATAAAAAATAATATTTTGTGTTAAATTATTGATTTTTTGTGAGAATAAAATACAAATATTATATGTATTGGGAATTGCATCGGGAAAAATTTTGATTGGATGAAAAACCTTTTTTTTCTCTCTTAAAATATTATATCAAATCATTATTTAAACAAAAACTTCCAAATTCAAAAAAACCCCAAAGGAACACACCCTTAAAATTTATCACCACCGCTATGACAAAGGATCACCAGCACTAGTTTGCCACCACCAAATTTTTTAATTTGGCCAATTTCTTAGGGTTTAGTGCCGCCGCTACATCGCCGGTGTTGCCACCGCCATGGCATAGGATTGATTTGAGTGGTCTAAATTTGATGTCCAATCACCTCCGGTCTCTCTTGTAAAACACCTTGAGTTTGAAGAGAGGTGTTTGTTTTAAATAGATATTTTGGTTATTATTATTTACGTTATTTAAGTGTATTCCTTTTGTACCAATAAATAGTTCTTAATTTCATTATTAATAAATAACATAGAAAATTTCCCAAAATATGATAGGGCATTGACGTAATCTTATAGAAGAAAGTTGGTTTTTTTTCGCATTAAAAATTGGGACCTTTTCTTGGTATATTTAGTAGAGCTGGAAAACATTTACACATCACAACAATCCGATATAAAATAATTGGGTTTGGATAAAAAATTTCGACCTGATCATATATACGAATGCACACGAATCTCACTCTTTAATAAACTAGTTCGTTTAGGGTTGAGGCCTTTAACTCAAACCCAACACGACAATCCAATTATAATATGTTAGTATTAATTAATATATTTATTATATATGTAAAATAATTCTAATTTGATAATTAACCCACATATTAATTTAAATTAAGTTCAATTATAAATAATTTAACATAATTCACTATACACACTACACTAGAACCGACAAACACTAACATAATACGACAATTTGACAAACAATAATTAGATTTGGATCAAGAATATCAACCAAATTATGCATATGGGTCAATACGAATCTAACACGATAATAAATGAGTCAATATGAATCTGACACGATAATAAATGAGTCAATACGAACCCGACACGGTAATAAACAAGTCGGGTTAGGGTTGATTAATTTAAACCCGACACTACAACCCAAAAAATTAATTAGATTTGGATCAAGGATTTTGATCCAATTATGTATATGGGTCAACACGAATCTCACATGATAATAAACGGGTCAATATGAACTTGACACGATAATAAACGAGCCGGATTAGGATCAAGTAATTTAACCTGTTTAAAGTATTCAACCCGACACGAATTGACCTATTGCTAGGTCTAATATTTAGTTTAATTTTGACACAGATATCAGAAGTGATCTTGCCTTTAAATGATTCTAAAAGTTAGAAGATATCTTCTAATCTGTTGTTTGTACTACTAGTACATTTAGAGCTGAATAGGAGATCCGCATGATTCGCATGATATTTAAGAAGTGGCTATGTGATTCTCTCATATGGAATTTGTTGGTTGGGAATGACTAAGCAAAATCAATGAAAGTTTGGTCCATGTTTATTAGTTAGCATTCAGATGTTATCACAACCGCTCAAGTCATGATGTTCTCATGTCATAGGTTTTGAAAATTGTTTATCCTTACTCTATCCGTCTAGAAAATTTATGTTTATTTGAGTTGGACACGAATTTTAATGAATATAGTATTATATTGGTTGATTGTAATATATAAAAAAAAGGGGAGTATTTTGAGAAATAAATTAGTGAGTTAACGAGGTGACATAAAATTTTGGATATATTGAATATGTAAATGATTGTGATATATTTGTAAATAAATGTAATGTTAAAGGGCATAATTAAAGAGTGTAAGAAATTCTAGTTATAAATGAAAAGTGTATAATTTTTGTAAACATACAAAAAAGGAATCCAGACATATTTGATGGAATGAGGGAGTATTATTATATTATACATACATATTATATTGAAATATATCAAGAAAAGGCAATAGCTAGCTTTCCAATAATTAGCATTGTTGTTCTTAGCATTTTGATTGCAATTTTAGGGACACAGGGCTGAATTATATGCTGCACGAGTGGCTAAAGCCTTAGCTGCTCTGGAGGGACGTGAGAAAGTCAATGTAGATGATCTGAAGAAAGCTGTGAGTAAAATATTTTTTCATTTCTGAATCCTTGCTCCTCATTTGCCCTGAATAGATTGTTTAATGATTTGAAAATTGGTGTTGTTTATCCTTTCTGTAACTGCTGTTTGAGTAAGTTATCTTTGTTACTTTTCTCAACAGTTTACCACAACGGATTGAAGTTCAAAGTGAGGTTGTTAATTTAAAAGAGCTTCAAATCAGAAATAATGTACTCCTACAAAACAGTTGATGCATTTCTGTGATGAAATGGTCATGCTTTTATTGACTCTAACCCTTATTCTTGCAAAACAAGTCATCCAACATATGATAGCTAGTTTTCTGCAGAAGTACTGGTAGTAATTACTTTGTTGGTAATTTATTCGAACTGAATCACTGATATTATTATTAGGTACACTTGACTGTTCAGAAAGGCCTATCATTTGCCCAAAACATGCACGATGCATTTTTCTTAAGAGCATTTAAGAGCCATTAAAATGGTTAGTAAATGTGTATAACTGAGATTATAAATTATTTAGTTTTAATAGCCAGTAAGCTGCTTAGGATGGTTTTCACAGTTGCAGAGAACCAACTATAAGTACAAATGATAATAAATGATATGCCAGATACCCCAAATTTGTAATTGGCCTAATATCTACGCACCAGCAACCATGCCTAGTACTTTCTTGTTAGCTATGTTTTGAATACATCTCCCTCTTTCAATTTAATGAGAGACACTTCACTCTTTGTGCAGGTGGAGTTGGTCATTCTTCCACGTTCTGTCATTAATGATAGCCCACAAGATCAGCAAAACCAGCAACCACCACCACCTCCTCCCCCTCCCCAAAATCAAGATCCTGGGGAAGAGCAGGATGAAGAAGAGGAAGACCAAGAGGTTTTCTTGAAATCTGTATTTTGAATACTATGTTACAGCTTAGTTTAGGACGATATTGTACCATTATGAATAGCTTTCTCAGGATGATTACCCTTGATAGGATGAGAACGATGAAGAGAATGAGCAGCAGGAGCAAATACCCGATGAGTTCATCTTTGATGCTGACGGAGGCTTAGTGGATGAGAAACTTCTTTTCTTTGCACAACAAGCACAGAGACGGCGTGGGAAAGCTGGGAGAGCAAAAAATGTTATCTTCTCTGAGGACAGGGGACGGTATATTAAGCCCATGCTTCCGAAGGTCAGATCCTTTTTTTTTTAAATTTTTGGGCCTTTGGAATAATCAGTGGTTGAATGTAAGGATGAGCTCCATTTAAAGTTTACTGGAAATATTATGAATTTCTCCAATTAAAAACAGGGTCCTGTAAGGAGATTGGCTGTTGATGCGACTCTCAGAGCAGCTGCACCATATCAAAAGCTGCGAAGGCAGAATGATATCCAAAATAGTAGAAAAGTTTATGTAGAAAAGACAGACATGCGGGCTAAAAGAATGGCCCGAAAAGCAGGAGCTCTGGTACAATGATCAATCTATCTTTTTATTCTTGATTTTGTATTTATGCCCTCTACTTTCTAGCAATCTGAACCTCACTTTTAAACTGATTTATATTTAAACTCTTTCATAACAGAAAAACAAAGAAAACTAGCATGAGACCATAATGATTAGGTGCTGCAGAGCTTCTCTGTATCACATTATCACTTGATTGATAGATCAGATGATTCAAAAATCGTTTTTTTAATATCTAGAAATGGCGCAACCACACACACAAAAAAATGAATGTGAATGATAATCTAATCTTGGAAGTTTTTAGTTTGTCATTGTTGTTGCCGGGGGCTTATATGTTATTGACAGCATTTTATAAGAATTTATATAATGACAGGTTATATTTCTTGTTGATGCAAGTGGAAGCATGGCATTAAACAGAATGCAAAATGCTAAGGGTGCAGCACTTAAGCTACTTGCAGAGAGTTATACAAGCAGAGATCAGGTGTGTTTAAAGGAAGCCTGTTTACTGATGTTGGATGCTGTCATTTGTTGTTCTAAATTCTTCAAACCCTAGTTTTTTATTCTAATTAATTGATGGTAAAAATCAATCCCAGATCGTAAGTTTTACAAGTCACAGCCTGCTGTAATCTCTTCCCTTTGGTTTAAGAGGCAGTGTATTTGGATTACTCGCATATGGTTACAATCACTTAAGTAGGAAGATGTGACTTTTCTGTATGATCAATTTTATGCAACTCTTTCAAATGCAAGGGCCAGTTTCTATTGACTAGTACTGTAAGGGTAAATACTGATTTTTTGTTTCATTGCTCACTACTTTTGTGAATTTTTACCGAAGGGAATGGGCTGTGGGATCATATATTTTCAAGTTTTGTTTTTAGTAAAGGATGGATGAAGAGGAATTACTTTTCTTGTTATTTAATAGGTCTGCATTATACCATTCCGTGGAGACGCTGCAGAAGTTCTATTGCCTCCTTCCAGATCAATTTCAATGGCAAGAAAACGTCTAGAGAGACTTCCATGCGGGGGAGGGTCTCCTCTTGCTCACGGTCTTACCACGGTATGTGAATCAATTATACTGTTCTTTAATGAGGTTATAGTAACAAGACAAGGCCCTTTAAGGTGTTTGCTTCCCTTTGTTTAGAGCCAGTCTGTATCCTCTGAATGATTTGCATCATTTTAACAAATGTTACTTCTATTTTGGATATGATGGAGCTTGTATACTTATCTAATACAAAATAAATAAATATTAATAGTTGTTTGACCATGTTTTCAATCTTGCTCCTGATATTTAATGTAAAGAAACTGGAGCTACATGCAGTTAACATCTTTCGTACAATCATTGAACAATAACTGTTATTAGTTGTATATATACTTTTGAATCCTGTTTTGTCCTTTACAGGCTGTCCGAGTTGGGATGAATGCAGAGAAGAGTGGTGATGTTGGACGCATAATGATTGTTGCTATAACCGATGGGAGGGCGAACATATCACTGAAAAAATCCACTGACCCTGAAGCAAATGCTGACATGCCTCGGCCATCTGCACAAGATTTGAAGGTATAATCATTAAAACTCTGTTCCATTGATATAGATCTTATTACCATCGGCTTGATCTCTGAGGATAAACAACTAAATTTTAGTTGTATTCTCTTCCAACAATGTTCTGACTTAGGTGAAATTAATTCATTGTCAAAGATCGATGTGATTCATTGTTTCCCGCTTTTAATTCTAGGACGAGATTCTCGAGGTTGCAGGGAAAATATACAAAGCAGGGATGTCTCTTCTTGTTATTGACACGGAGAACAAATTTGTCTCAACTGGTTTTGCCAAAGAAATTGCTCGAGTTGCCCAAGGTCTGTCATTTCTATTATGTTTCTCATCCAAACTTATGAACCCAAACCTTTTAGATCACTCACCTGTTGTCTAATTTCAGGAAAATACTACTACCTCCCCAATGCCTCAGATGCTGTTATCTCAGCAACAACAAAGGATGCTTTGTCAGCTCTGAAAAACTCGTAATTGGACAACTGTAAGCACCAACTTGTTATTAGCTAAACATAGATGTGATATTTGAAATGTACAAAACGTGGCGGGGCTGTTTGTTTAATGAGATCTTTATATGTTCTGTTAACATATTATGCACACCGCAGAACCATTGGTGGTCGAATATAGTTGTCAATAGGCACATGTAAAACAAGTTTTTTAAGTCTATATATATATATATAGATATATAAATGGCGAAAGACAATGGTCTTTACCTTCACGAATGAAACTCCTAAGACTCTAAAACTTCAAACTTGATGCTGAACAAATTTGTACATAAAAACAAAATGGCTGCAAGATTTAGCAATGAGTAAATTGTCCTATCTAAAGGCTCTTTTCTTTTATCTTTTTCAGACAAATCTGAGCCTCACAAATTTGTCAGCAATGAATCTCTCTGTAAACAAGAGGGGGCTGGGCTGTTCATATTTCATCAAAGGAGAAGATTAGGGCAATGGAGGAAGCTGTGGGGGTGGGTCAAATAGCACAGCATTTGTGTCTTGTCATACTGTTATTATTCTTGTCCTCATTTCATGTATGCTATTAAATAATGAAGTCCAGCTGCAATTTGATCTTTTTTATTTTATTTTATTTTATCTTTTTATTCACTGGTGTTTCTGAGTTATGACTGCTGCAGAGATTGGACCCCTTGTTTTGGATAAACCCCCTGAGATGGACCCTATCAAACTATAGAAGCCTAAAGTGCCACGTGGTGGCATCTAAAGGACCCCTTTACAAAGCTGAAAAATAGTAACCTAGCCTATGCATCTATATTTGTGTCTATATATATGTGTGTGTGTGGGTGAATTTTTGTGTGCAGACATTCAGGCACAAGCCAGAGCTTGAAGAAGCAGCCGAGCAAAAGAAGTTGGATGAAATAGAAGTTGGATTTTTGAAGCTGAGACATGGCTGATCACTTCTTACAAAACCTGAAACAGTCTTTTTCTTTAGCCGACCTGGATCCAATCATTGATTCCATGTACCATTTTCCAGGGATGCATCCGGGCCTGTCTGGCTTGAATTCACTCAGCCTGATGGGATTTCCTCAGGACAACATAGTTCCTAAGCTGCCACCTGATTGCCCTAGAAACCTGGAAACTTTACCTGGATGGTTTGTCCACCAGGACAACTGGACTATGATTCCCCCTGTCCAGGAGCCTCCCATTGTCTCCACTGACAATGATCTTGCAGGCAGGAAAAGGAAAGGTGTATTGGAAATCAGCACCCCGGAATGCAGCCCTGCCAACAGCTCGACCTATTCATCGCGGAAGGGATCGAAGACTAGTGTAAGTTTTTTGTTTGTTTTTTTTTTTTTGGATATATTGATCAATTGTTGGACTTGGAAATTTGGGGGGCACAATTTGATTGTGTTTTTTTTTTTTTTTTTTGTTTTTAGCATGCCAGAAGGGGGAAGAAAGTGAAAGTTGAAGACGAGAAACCGAGAGAAGTGATTCATGTGAGGGCGAAAAGAGGCCAAGCAACTGATAGCCATAGTTTAGCAGAAAGAGTAAGTTTGTTGTAGTGTAGTTGTTACAATTTACAGGGCTCTTATAGAAAACAGCAAACACATGATTGTAGCTGTTCATCAGGTAAGAAGAGGGAAAATCAACGACCGATTGCGGTGTCTTCAGGACATCGTGCCCGGATGCTACAAGGTGATCAAATTAATCTTTTATGCGCTATTTTGCACACAATTCTTGATTCGATGTGCTTAATTTGATGAAATTCTTGCAGACAATGGGCATGGCAGTGATGCTGGATGAGATCATCAATTATGTCCAGTGCTTGCAAAATCAAGTGGAGGTGAGTGATAAAAAGATATAAAAATTGCTCGATTGGAAACTCGGAAAAGTTCGATGTAATAAATTATTGTGTTTTGTTCGGTTTCAGTTTCTTTCGATGAAGCTTACTGCTGCAAGCACGTTCTACGACTTCAACTCAGACGCAGATACCGTTGAGACAATGCAGGCATGTTCCTACAACCTCGAACATGCTCATCTAATCATCGATTTTACCTAATGTAAAGCTGTGATTTGCAGAGACCGAAGGCATTTGATGCAATAAAAGTTGAGAGCACAGGAAACCAAGGTATCACTCCTTCGATTCATTTTGGTTCATCGGGCCCGAATTTCAGTTGTTATTCTCAGGTGCCGCGCAGCAGCTGAATGCTCCCGATCTTGTCTCTTTGTGTTCTTTCTTCCGTTCAAGTAAACATGTATTAGGCGACGAAAGGCTGTAGTAAAAAGAACAACATATTATACACTCAATTTCATAGTTCCCATTGTCCTGAGAAATCTATTCAGCTCATCGATCCTTTCTTGTTCTGATCGATCGGCACGATTGGCGGATTTCGAATCGGATCAGATTGGATTCATTAAATGGAAACACAAGACAATTCTTGATCTATATAACAGGTAGCTAGGCATTATTGTATCTCCAGTTGGTGTTTTAATTCAGACAGAAATGTTAATTTGTGTCGAGAAATTTGCAGTCCCCAAATGGGATGATGAATATAGAGAGAGTGTGTGTGTGTGTGTATGTATATGTATGAATATTGGTAATAGTTGATCAATTATTGTATTTGTAGATTCTTTTTCTTGGTATTAATGGGGAAGGGATTGAAGTTTTTCTTTCTTCTTGTGGATGTCTTCATTGGTTTTGTCCTCATCAAATCAACTACTGTTGTCCAACAGCAACAAAACTGTAAGTGGACATCTAATTTGGTGTATATATATATATATATATATTTATTTATTTATTTATTTATGAAAAATTGAAATTGGAGTAGGGCCATGACTACATCGACAACTTCCATTGCACAAGATTTTTATTCCTTTTTAGATTACGTGTTTGTTCCATGTAAAGATGTTTAACTTTAAATTTCATGATTATCTTAGTTATCCGAGTGCAGATTTATCAGTATACTGATTGTTTGAATATACGAGGCCATTTTCGACCCTCCGCTCCATTTTTTCAGTTGCTACCGTAAAAATGCAGTTGATCAATAGTAATTTTATTTCAATTATAAACTTCAATTTTTACTTTAAAAATTATATTTCTTATATATTCCTCTTTTATGCTCCGTCTAAAAACAGATGTCTTTTTGAATACTAAAAGTAAAAAACTAAAATACGCTTGCTTTTTTTGAATGATTTTAAAAAGTATATTAGAGTAATAATTAAGGGTGGTTTGAAAAATTAGAAATAATTTTGTTATAAAGTGAAACCATAGTTACTAAATAAGGAAACAAGACAATTGTTTTGAGACCGACAAAAATAGAAAAATAAGACAACTCTATTGTGACGGAGGGAGTATTATTTTATATAACTTTTCATATTTATAAATTACACCATAATTTTAATTTATTTTTACATTAGATCCATACACATATCATTTATATTTTATAATTACATATATGAAAATGAACATATATAGTTAATAACTATTACAAATAAAATTATACAACCCACTGCATAAATGCATTGGATTGGAGATGATCTGAAAGTACTATATAGATAATATATAAAAATATTACATATAACACATGTTGTATAAAATATTATTATGTATTGCCAGTTCTAAATTAAATTTTTATATTTAAATGTGTTATTTGATATATATTATTGAGTTATCAACACCATAACCATCACTTGTCGAGTGATAAATAGTCTTAAATCTTTTAAAGTAATGGTTGAAAATGTTTTCTACTTTTAGTATTAAATATTGTCATATGCATCGACATGGTAAAGTTGAAACTTATTTGGGTTAACAATATAACAATTTTTAACATCAAATGTTGATATATATTTAATTTCTTAATTAGATATGCAAAATTGAATCATATCAATATTGGAAATTATCATATACCTAATTCATACCAATAGTACACATTTTAACAAGGTTCAATTGTAAATATATTTTCAACAATACTTTTACTATACTCAAGTACGGTCTGGATAAATTTCGATAGAACTTACTAGCATGCAAATTAGACCGAAAACACAAATTACTCTAGACAGATTGCATAATTTCACGATCATAGATCGAATTCTCATATCACTGAATCATCTTTTACACTTATATATATTGAATATATTAAGATGAGGCCATGAACACGGTCCATCGTCAAATACTTCATCCAATCATTAGCAACATACTCCCTCCGTCCACTTACAATGTTTACATATTTCTATTTTGGGACGTCCAATTACAAAGTTAATATTTCGTTAAATACTCTACTTTTTTCCATAAATACCCTTACTTTACATCATAACATTACTTTTACACAAAAAAAAAAGTAAGGGCAAAAATGTCATTACACTACTTTTAACTACCAAAAGTAAATGTCAACCTTCTAGGTGGACGGAGGAGTAATATTTAAGAAAATGATGTTAATTAGTTAATAATAGTGACTTATGATATTATTTTATAAATTTTTATATAATTAATAATATTAATAGTTTTCAAATAAATTTAATATATATGATTAAAAAATTAGAATATGTATTTAAATACTTTAAAAATTCTATGGTAATAAAAAATATATAAAATATGAATATCATTTGTAGATAATAATTTTTTTTTATAATATTAGTAAATAAAAAATACTTTAATTTAATTATAGTTAACATAAACTAATTTTATAAAAAATTAGAATTTTAAATATAAATATAAATATTTATTTTTCGAAGAGTAAAATAAAAATAACGGGGTTTTGAGTGGTTCAATTACGATGTTAAGTTGATTTATATTTATTAATTATATTTTAATTTAATAAATTTTATCTTAAAAAAAAATGTCAATTACTATAATACAGACAAAATAGAAAAATTGTAGATTGTTATAAAAATAAGGAATAGTACAATATATATATATATATTTTTTTTAAATTCAAAATAAATAAATAGTACAATATAGATATTATATGAAATGATAGACATAGACATTCATTATTGTAATGAATTATGAATCATGTCACATATCAATAGTCTAATCCACCACCAAATTTCATTTTCACAGGCATTATAAAATTTAATTTTATAGTATTTTATATTCCAATAAGTAACTAATTTAACTAATCGCATTAATTTAAGATAAATATTTCCACATATATACACTAATTAAGCTTAGAGAAACCCCTTATTTGTCACATATATATATATATATATATAATTTTGTCATTAGACGACATGCACACGTACTTAGCAATCAAGAAATAATTTATAAAAATTTGTCTGAATATTAGTAGTATTAATTATTAAATGATAATTGGTCCTTTCTATGCCACAGAAATCCTAGTCACAATTATGACAAAAGGGAACCAAATCTTTACAATTATATTCTTATAATTTAATTAATTAAGTACTAAATAAATTAAATACTTCCATTATACTTCTCTCCATCCGTCTTTAAGGGTTACATTTACCTTTTGCGTGATTGTACTTGACATTAAAAATATCCTTATATTTGTATAATTTTTTTTACAAATTTCCTTCTATTACTATTATAAGACAAATTTGAAATATTTTTTCAATTTTATTTTAATTTACACTATATTTTAATATAATAATTAATATTTAAAAATCAATACGCAAAAAATAAATGAGAGTCTTAAAACTAGTTTGTAACAAATATGTATCAATGAAGTAAGTGGAGCCCTACAAATAATGCACAAGCTAAATCTCAAGGATGTTGCCAATTCATCACATCAAACTATTATTAATTAATCCAATCTAATTGAAGGTTTTTGTTATATAATACTCCTGTCACTTCACATGTTACTTTTTTATTTTCGTACTTCCCACTTATTTTATCATTTTTTTTAGAAATAAATATACACTTTAATTTTATTTTGAATTTTTAAATTTATAATTTTTTTTATTTTAATTTGACTAATTATTTTTAATAATACATTCTTATTTATTTACTAACTGTACCCTCCTATATAGGAGGAATAATAATAATAATAATAATAATAATAATAATAATAATAATAATAATAATAATAATAATAATAGTGAATTTTATATTGCACGTTAAAAAAATTGAAATGTAGTAGTATAAGTTTTGTTTTCTTTACACTACAAAAAAAAATCATTTTCGTAACAAAAATTTTTTGTCTCTAAATCTACTTTTTCAGTTACTAATGACATTAGAGACGAAATTAGGAATGAAATTACGTTAGCTACGTGAACTTTAGGGACGGAATTCCGTTACAAATAAATTATTTTTTTGTAGTGTTAATTTTTCTATACTACTTTTATGATTCCATATAAAAATGTGTGTTTTTTTTCACCCACCAACTTTATGCATTTGTTTTTTTTTTGTCCACAATATATATTTCATTTATGGTAAATTATTCATACATTTCTTAAATTATAGGCTTCAACAGTACATTTATTTACAAAAGTATCAAACTATATATCTACACATTCAATTTATATATATATATATATATATATATTTTCTCACCGCATTAAGTCACCCTTATATACATTTCAAAATTTATATTTATATATATCACAATTAATTAATATAATATATTCATTAAAATTTGTATAAATCTAAAACGACCATAAAATTCATAAACAAATAGAGTAATATTTTCTCTTAAAATATCGTATATATTTATTATTTAAATACAAATACAAACCAAATAAATCTATAGAGTTTGTTTAAATGATACTCCTATTATATATATATATATATCTACTCTCTCAATCTACCGAGGTATCAATTTTATCATTTTCGACTGTTATAAAAATTATAAAGTATTTACTTAATTTTAATAAGTTTGGACCCCTACTTCATATATTACTAATACTATTAAATTTATGCATATTTATATCAATACAATTACATCAAATTTATATATAATAGAAACTTAGTCTTTGCATATAAATGTATCACAAACTACTATTAAAATACTATATTTGTCAGTGTGCATAATATTTATATTATGACATTTCATAAAAATCAAAAAGTCAATATATAATAATATTATTTTTTATATTATCGACATAATTCTTTATATTTTATATAAAAGAATATTTCAAATTAAAAAATACTGAATAAAAACACCCATAATTTATTCTTTTAATGTTTAATTTTTTTGATGTTTTATTTATTAGTTATCAATGTGAAAGCATTACTTCTCCGTCCCATTTAATTTGTCTATTATTTCCATATTCATTCGCCCACATAAATTATCTTTTTTATTTTTAGAAATATAATGATATACTTTAATCACATTTTAAAATTCATAATTTTTTATTTTAATTAAAATATTTAATTATTTTTATCTTAATATATAATTATCTTTACTAATATATTTCTTAATTCTTTACTACTTACGTCATATCTAAAACTTCATGCCCCAACTAAAATGAACAAATTAGCTAGGACAGAGAGAGTATTATTTGTTTTTATTAGGTGTGTTTATTTTGTATTTTTTATGACTTTTTTTTATATTAATATAGAGAATTATATTGGTAATATTGTAAATAATATTTTATATTAAATTATTGATTTTTATGAATAGATATAATATATATTATATTATACTTTTAATAATATTAATCAGAAATCG